ATGTTTTTATGGGATAGACTCATGTCATGGATATATCCTTTAGTCAGTTAACACTTGCACTCGTTTTAAAGGGGGACTACATGCGGACTAATAATTATTGGCACTTCCAGCAAGTTTGTGTAAAGTCGTTCAAACAACAGTTTGACAACAAGCTCAGAGTTCAGGATGTATATTAGCAGATCCAGTCTCCATTTCACAACATGATACTAACTACAGTAAATACGGTTATAACGAACACGCTTATAACTAACTAACTTTTTAGTCCCGACTATATGCTGTAGTTATGCTGTATATATGCTTATAACGAATTACGGTTATAACGAACTAAAATTAGTAGTCCCTTTGAGTTCGTTATAACCGTAGTTTACTGTATGGTGTTTCGAATAAGACAAACGGGAGATGAACATGAGATGGTTTGATGTAGACTTAACCGAGCTAAATTGAATTTGGAACCGAACTCGCAAAGTCTAAACAAAATCAGTCCTTAAAATCAAACTCACTCAGTCACTGTAATAGAATGTGTCGTTTATGTGCGATCATTACAACATTCTTGGCTCTCCCGTGGTAGTCGACACCTCCACGATAGTGTCGAAACGCGGATACGTCGACCTTTCTCTGATCCCACCGAATCCTGTACAATGGTGTTTGACTGCATCAGTTTTCATGGTGATGGTCAGTCTCAGCCACTGAATCCTACAAAGCTACTGACACAACAATTATTGACGTGCATCATTATTGCCTTGTGTTCGTATCTCTTATATGACGACCCGTGAAGATCCGGGTAAGAATAGGATTTTAGACAACCATGCTTGTCGTAAAAGGCGACTAACGGGATCGGGTGGTCAGGTTCGCTGTCTTGGTTGATGCACGTAAACGTATCCCAATTGCGTAAATCGATGTTCATGATGTCAATCACTGGATTGTCTGGTCCAGACACGATTATTTACAGACCGACGTAAAAAAGCTGGAATATTGCTGAGTGCGGCGTTAAACAGCAAACAAACAAACAAACAAACAAACAAACTCTAATGTGAAGATTTGTGTTAGTTTGGAGACAAATGAGTGAGTGGCATTAACGTCACTTTTATCTGTGTTTTCTTGATACCTCGGAATCTATAAACTTGAAATAAACCACGCAACAATATGTTTGTGTTCATATGATGTATACCAATAGTAATAATAAATTAGGATGACTATCCTGTAATATATCTGTAATAAAACATCGGTCTCTATCTATTACTCGTGATAAAGTTGTTTATAAATAGTTTTTCAAGTCATCAAGATTTGTTCAAGTCATTACGGGGATTTAAGATTCGATTTTGAAACGCCCTTCATTGCACAAGCACCGACAATCATCACGTGTATTCGACAACTCGGCAACATTAAATCCGCATTGTGAACACACCTAACTGTGATATCATCATTGCATAACGGTTTCTTCTGCTGTGTAAAATTCTCAGTCACATAGCAGTTATGTTTGATATTCAGGTTGTAGTGTAGTAAGCATACACTATTTCATTCAGACAAAACGTCTCTGAATAAGGATCTGTATTGCCATGGTGTATGTGTTTTTATATCCTTTTCTCTGAAAAATTGGCCATGGCTTGGTCACAAAAAAAACTTTCTTTGAAAAACATACTATAGACAATGTCTCATTTTTTTCTACTATGCCACTGCTGACACGATACTTTATTTATATCATCCAACTAGATGACGTTTTAATATGCTGCCAAAATACTTAACACACACCAATATTTCAAAGAGCACTTTGATTTATCATATTTGTAATTTAATTTTGGATTATGTAAACACAGAATTTTATTCGTGTCTAAAGCATCATATTGCATTTGAAGATACTGAAACCCACTCCAAACAGCATGGCTTTTAGATTAAAAAACATATTTTATATCCGTGTTCGAGTACTTTATTAAAGTAATTATAGATATTACTGACAACACTAGTGACATAGCTGTTGATTTCTAAGAATGCTTCAGCAATACTTGGGGTTTACCCAAATACCCAATAAAGTACAGATAGATAAAATAGTCATATCCCTGTGAACTTTTTGTTGTGGTGAGGTTTAACGAATGGGCCCACGATCTGGTGACCGAATGGCACATCCCAGATGTTACAAGGAAGTTGAATGTCATATTTTATTCTCCTTCCCTTCCCGAAGAGAGAATTATTGTAGTACTAATAATAGTTCACACATATGTCCGCTATAAAAAAACGTCATATCAGTATCGTCAAACAACTCGGTTTACACCAGGCGTGGCAAAACCTGCGGATGCCCGAATCTGTATGTATATTGTCTGTATGTATCTGTATGTATATTGACTATGTTTTTTTATACAAACACCATTAGAGGGCTGAGGACAGTTTATGTTTTTTCAAAAAATAGCTTTACTAAGTTGATGTGTTACATAAGAAGTGAACATTCTTAAATGACACTGATTTCATTTGTTTAGAAATCATGGGAAATACAAATTACTCATTTATT